CACACACACACACACACACAGAGGCACAGAGAAATTCCCTACCTGTTTCCCTCCCACCTCAGGATCCCAGCCCCGTCTCTTATCCAGCACGTCATATTCTTCTCTTCTTCCTAAACTGAGCTCCTGAAACAGAGAAAATGTCAGAGAAGGCCAGGCTAGGTTCCAACAGAAGGGAACCGCAGAAGGATGGGACCAGCTGGATTCAAGAGAGAGTGTGTGTGAGTGAAAGAGAGACAGTTGGGGGGTGGGAGACAGTGTGTGTGTGTGAGAGAGAGAGAGTGTGTGAGAGAAAGATAGTGTGTATGGGAGAGAGTGGTGGGGGGAGAGAGTTGTGTCTGTGTAAGTGAGAGAGTGGAAGAGTGTGTGCAGGGGAGGTAGAGACAGTATGTGGGGGGGGAGACAGCATGTGTGTGTGAAAGGGTGTGTGGTGGAGGGTGAGTGTGAGAGAGTATGTGTGTGGGAGAGAGACAGAGTGTGTATGTGGGGGGGAGAGAGTATGTGGGAGACAGAGGGTGTGTGTGTGAGAGAGTCTGTGTGTGAGAGAGTGTGTGCTTGTATGTGTATGGGGGGGAGAAAATGTTTGTGACTGTGTGTGTGTGTGTGTGTGTGTGTGTGTGAGAGAGAGAGAGAGAGAGAGAGAGAGAGAGAGAGAGAGAGAGAGAGGAGAGAGAGAGAGAGAATGTCTGACTCTCATATTCCAGGAGAGGTTATCTTTGGTACAGTTAATCAGTACATGGTTCAGGACGCCCTTGTTTACTGGATCTCTTGGCTAATTGGGGTGGCAGTTCACATGACACAGCCTTGACAAGGAGCCTTTTTGACCTTTTTATTGCTGAAGGTCACCATAGGTATGGCAGTTTTCCTTTCTAAACGTGCTAGTAGCAAGCATTTGGTATTTCTTGTACAAAACCCAGGAAAATCCAGGACCTGGGAATCTTGAGTACTGAGTGACTTAAGTATGAGGCCCTGTGACAACCTCCCCTAGTGTGCTGTGGTGATCCCACCTCGCCTTGAAACACCTCCAAGAGCATCTCATTAGTGTAGTTATTCTGAATCAGATCAAAAGCAAAGTCCTTTTTTGGAATGCTATTTTTATAAATGGGGTGTGTAATGAGAAAGGAAGACCCCTAACCTTTTCTCATTAATACAGATTGGGTAATACCGAATGAGGGGTATGATAATGGGGCAGGTGTTATCCTGTGGGGTAAAGCAGAGCGGTCACAACAAGCCTGCATTTATCCCACGGTTGTGTTTTCTGAGGCCTTCAGAATGTGTTTTAAAATTTTGAGTTTGATACCAAGATTTGAAACCCAAACGGTGTTCCATAAGCATAGGTGCAGATTTCTGGCATCTTCTGAAGAGCTGGATGATTTGCTTTTACAGGACTTGAACCCCCACATGACAGCAGACTCCTAGAGCTGAGGAGTAGCTGCTCCTCTTAGATGGGGCATGGACCATCCAGTTTGCCAGTCCTTTCCTCTCCCTATTGTCCTAACAGGCCTCCCCATCACCTAACTGCTTGGTCCTGGAAGACTTTTGAATTGGCGCCCTCTGTGGGTGAGGTAGGAGAAGCCCGGGCTGCTGACCTAAGGGGGATTCCAAGTCACACTGAAAGCTCAGGGTGCTGGAGAGGTCCTGGTGTGACAGGCCTCTGTGTGTAGGGGACGGAGCAGAAGAGTTCCCACCTTCTCTCTCCCTCACGGTCCTTCTCTCCCTTGTCACTTATACTGCTCCCCACATTTGTAAGATAGAGAGAGACGCCTGGGACAGCTCTCAGGAAATGTTTTCTGGACAGAAGAATACTAAAACTAACCAATTATTGTTGTTTATTGTTGTGAAGTGCTGTCAAGTTGTTTCCAACTCATAGCAACCCTGTATTATAAGGTTTTCAAGGAATGGCAGGTGGGTTTAAACTACTGGCCTTGAAGTTAGCGGTCCAGTGTGTATCCTACAGAGCCACACCAGGGCTCAGATCAGTCATTGGTCACCCAAAATCTAAAGTCTTTTGGAGGAGTGAAACAAAGTTTCAGTGTAAGAAAACACCCACATCTATAAGATAGGGACAGCTGATCCCTGTATGTTTGTCTTACTCGGGGATTGTTTCCTTAAAAGAAACACATTTTTGCCTGTCCAAGTAAGAAGGTTTTATATCTGAGAATTCAAGAGGACCCTCTGTATCAAGGGCAAACCAAG